TTTTGTTGAAAGTTTTTCTACGATTGATACGAATGTAATCTAAATTAGTAATTTCACATTTAAAAGTATCTATAAGCTTTTGAGGATAGAATTAAAAATATTTTACATAACACACTTTTATTTTTACAATTTAAAAATATGTGTATAACTGAAATTATGGGAAGGAGATGTCAACAAAACGTCTTGATTATCCTCCAGGATGTGGTTAGCAACATTTATTCCACTATGGTTTTGTTTGAGATTCCCTCTTAAACCGTTTAACAGTGAACCTGCCCAAGGATAGCCGAACGCGTTTATTGTCGGCGCAGTAAACGATACCGATAAGAAAACTTCAAAAAAGTAAAAAAATTACGCCAAGTACATGAAAAAGTGGAGGAGTCAAGGAGTTATCATTGAAAAATAGAAGATCCCCATAAAAAAAACTACAAGAAAGTAGAAAAATATGTGAAATCGAAATGAGCTGCCAGATGATTTACCTAGATTTCCGCAGCCTGGAAGTCAAATGCTTGGCGTGGCCAGGCAAGGCATTCTTAGATCATCAAGACCCATACTTTCTCTCTCCCAGACTTTCAGGTAATTTGTCAATTTAAAACTCTGACAATATTATGAGTACACTTTCATTGTATTGTGTTCTAAATATTTCTAAGGTCATTCATCGACTCCAATACCTTTATTCTCGCAAGCTTTCAGATAATTTGTCAGTTTAAAACTCTGACAATATAAGTACACTTTCATTATTTTGGGTTTTAAAACAATTCTTCTTCATCGACACTTTGACCTTGGCTGGCCACGCCAAGCATTTGACTTCCAGGCCGCGGAAATCTAGTCAAATCATCTGGCAGCTCATTTCGATTTCACATCTTTTTCTACTTTCTTGTAGCTTTTTATGGGGATCTTCTATTTTTCAATGATAACTCCTTGAGTTCTCCACTTTTTATCGGATCACACTTCTTTATACAAATAATTTATTATATAGAATCCATTTCAAATTTATAAAAGTAAAATTAATATTTCTGTAATCTCTACATAAGAAGTCCAAATTATTATTTGTTTCTTTAATTGAATCGAGTAAAATAAAGGGAGAGGGGATAAAAAAAGCGAATTATATATATATATATATATATATATATATATATATATATATTTCATATAATTTATTAATTATAAACACTTATTCGTTCAATTTATAAATAATTTTATATACCTGCAATTTTTTTCTTGCTGCAAGAAATTTTAATGTTAATGATGAAATGAGAAAATAACTCCATTTCTATAAGCTCTACGTAAAAAGTCTAAATAAAAAACACTTAAGTGGTATGGATCTACTCTGTATGAATGAAGGTTCCTGACAATTCAGATTTTGACAACTTATCTTGTAATCGAAATTGATCTACATTTTGCTTTACTGGCAGCAATTTGTTAATCTCCAATCCTGTGGGCCCCCTTCATTTCCACAAGCTCTACATAAAAAGCTTAAATTCAAAATACGCCGCTCGACGCTCGATGGCCGACGAGCCATGCCGAACCGAATGATTCCGGGAGTCGACATACGACGCTCGGTTTTTGCTGAGCTCCTATTGACTAAGGGTTGACGACGGGAAAATCATACGAAAAATACCGTTTCTGACAGATTCATGACATGATATTACGATATCTCAGTTGTATGTGGACCGATTTGATTGATTTTGGTTTTATTCGAAAGCTTATATACGGTTTACATAAGAAAAATGCCTTTAAATTTAGAAAATACTGCAGGCGTGTTGAGATATTCATGAAAGAAGTTTCAGGTTAGGTTGGAATGGACCATCTCTCCTGTAAAAAATACGTGGTAGCTCCAACGCCAGTATGTACGCGATGACGGATACTTTTTCATGTACTTGGCGCCGAGACGCTACCGCGTGTCTAGATTGCACTATGGTTTTGTTTAAAATTCCCTCTTAACAGTGAACCTGCCCGAGGACAGCCGAACGCGTTTAGTGTCGGCGCAGTAAATGATATTAGGTTTACTGCGCACTGGGGCGCGTTCGTCTCTGCGCAGTGACACCGCGAACTTTCAAGAATGTTCTAGAAACTCTTGAACTTCCGGTTGAGAAACGGATTTCCGGGCTAAACATTAAAATCGCTCCGAACAGGCTCGACGCGCTTTTGTTCAGTCACTGCCAAAGATAACGTGTGCTGCACTCCTCGCTGTTCTCGCTTCTTAGCTAACACGTGCTACTCTATCTCGTGTTTCGTTTTACTATTTCTGTTTCCGTGTACTACACTTTCGTTGCTTGTGTATCGCGAATAATGTTGTATATTTTAAGCTGTACATTACTGTCTTCAATCTGTGTTTCTGTTAAATTTAAGGCATTGATAGAAAATACACGTGACTACGTTCGAACGTTGTACGTTTTATTAGAAACCAGGAGGCACTTAAAATTAATTTCAAATTTTTGTTTAGCAGTAGTAAACAGTTCTCTTAAAAGGGTTAAATTGAACGTTTGGAAGCTTATATATATACCTTATGTAGATACTTAAAAATTAATCGTTCGTTTAACAAGGAAACAAAACGCTGCCTATGGCAGGTATCGCTTGTCGTAATATCTAACTTTATCACGGCAGAATAACAAGGAATTATATTTGTCAGCAGTTCTATTGCGTGTGTCGCGTGTTCGTTGTGACAGCCATCGTTAGTTGTTCTCCCACGAGAGTCGCTCTCCCACGTATTGTTGTCGTTCCGATGTATTCATATGTTCAGTGGATAGGCATAAATATCGCGCATGTCAACATTCGATGCAGTTATGTACCGTTAACACGAGAGAAAACTTCTTCGATCACTCGTGGCTTTCATCTAGGCTATAGATACGTCATTTTTTTACTCGCGTGATATTAGCTAATCCAGTGGTACGTTTTCTTGCGAGTTTGTTAGATTGTAAAACAAATAAAAGAATATTATCACTTTGACCTAACCAGAATCTAACCATTCTGTAATAATGTAGGCTTGCCAACCATACGCCCCATCGGTATAGGGTCATTCTATGACAACTTGGACACTTTTTGGAGTAACATCTCTCAACCTTTTTTTTTTTTTAAAATATAGCTATTGAACTAGGCCAGAGGTCGGAATTTTCTCCACGCGGCGGCCGATTTTCGAGGTCTACGCCTACCGGCTTTCCCTTACCGCGCGGAGGACCGATAAGCTGACCGAGGCGCAGGACCGTCGCATGTCCCGAATAGTGCGGCGGGCCCGCTTCTTGATTACTTCCCATCTAGTAAATGGGCCCACCGCACTATTCGGGACATGCGACGGTCCTGCGCCTCGGTCAACTTATCGGTCCTCCGCGCGGTAAGGGAAAGCCGGTAGGCGTAGCCCTCGAAAATCGGCCGCCGCGTGGAGAAGATTCCGACCTCTGAACTAGGCAACAGATGAAAATGACCTTTCACGTAGCCATAGTGAAGAAATGGAAGTATCAAATAAAAATTATTTCAGAACAAAAAAAGTTTCTTGAACCATTTTTTTTAAATTGTTTTAAACAAATCTCTTACTTTTATACCGGGCAAGTATTTAAAATCTGAAAAAAATGAGTTTGACTTCCTGATGATACTTTTAAAAAGATGGAAAAATTAAAATTGGCGAATAAAAATTGATTGAAGGGAACGCTGATTCGAAGCGCGTCGATGCATATACGACGAATATATGTATATTAAAATCTCACTCTATATCAATGGCACTTGTCGTTGAAAATAAGTTGCCACAGTTTAATGGAAACGACGAGAAGGTAGTGAGTATTCTTCCATCGGGATAGGATGGAATTTGACAGGATTAGGTTATTGGAGAAATATTCTATGGATGGAATTTGACAGGATTAAGTTATTGGAAAAATATTCTATCATATAATAATGGTCATTTGATTAAACGAATCACTGATAATATTATTATTTATTTTACAATTTTAACAATTTGTGATTTTTGACTATCAGAATAAATTTTAACTGATAAATGGTATACTACTCTGACGGATCTCCTACACAATATAAAAATAAATCAAATATAAGAAATAATTACGAAGATTTTGGAAATAATGCAGAGTGGTACTTTTTTGCAAATTTACATGGTAAAAATGCATGCGATGGTATCGGAGGATCATTAAAACGACTAGTAGCATGATCTATTTTTTGTTGTAAAGTATTGCTTTGTTAACTTCTCGATTTATAGGGAAGTTATTGTATTTGCCCCTAAAATAAAAAATCGATTTTTTAGCAGATCTCCATGTTTCAAGGTCATTGGAGTCATTTTAGCCTATCTGTAATAAATAGTTCGCGCGCGCGCGCGCGTGTCTGTGTGTATGTGTGTACGTATGTAAACAAATTTTTCGTTAA